TAAAATGAATTACACTTATTTTTAATGAACTATATTTTATTTATATACCAAAATATTGTTAAAAACAAGTATTCTGGGCGTTTTAAAGTATTATCTATTACTTACATCCATAATTTTGCTTTTGAATAAAAATGAACTGAAAAGTTCTGAAAAAGTCTAACGTACTGATTTCGCGCATAAAAAATCAGGCAACCCTAATTACAGCAAACCGATATTCGGGTTGGTAGCAAAATGGAACGTACGAACGACGGACGGATTACAGCATAGGGGCGTTAGTGTTAGATTATTTAAAATTTAAAATTTGAAGTTGTTCTTTAGTTTAGACTGTTGATAAATGCCGATATAATTGCAGGTTAACACTTATTTTTTTTTTAGTAAACATTGCTAAATTTTGCAATTTTCTCTTGTACAAAAGTTATATGGTCAACCCGGAACCACTCGGAATTACGCGCTCTAAAAAATGTCATGCCTATTTTCATTTCCAACCTCATATTTCTCCGTGCGAAAACTTTCGAATTTACTACTTTAACATTTTTCACCCGAATATATGTATGGTCATTGTAACGTGTACATATGTATGTACATATGAACTAATAAAAACATTTGTAAAAACGAGTCTAAAAGCATTTAAACAGTGCATACCTAAATTCAGGATGTCGGCTGGAGGGGCCAGATATGACATTTGGTAAAAACAATCATTCAAGATGACATTCTCTTAACACAACACCTGAATGCCTACGTAAGCCTTCTTACCTAACAAAACATGACAAGGCGAAGTTCATCAGCACAGATGATGGAAAAGGGACTGCATCAGAAACTGGAACAGGTTACGTTAGGCATTTCATCTAAGTGTTCGCTTCTTAAAAATGACAAGAAACAAGGGTCACTTTAATTGCGCGCGAAAACAAAGGGTAAACACAAAGGGGTAAGAGTAAGCATAAGGGTTAAAGTAAGAATTTCTATTCATAGAATTTCATCAAATGCTCTTCTTCCGCACTGCAGCTCAAATGGGTTGCTTACATGACCAACATGTGACAAGCAAAATCTCGAAATGAGCGAGGAGTGATCGCTGCCAGATATGATAATGTTGATCGTTTTTTAAAGGAAGCGTTCAAGGATGCTAATGAAATTAACGCGAACCCGTTTGCAGGCCGGATGGGACAATTAAAGGTCACGGGCTGGCCTACTGTGAGTCAAGCTACAGATAATCATCATTTAACAGTTGCCCAAAATTACGCCAAGTCACAGGACCTCGGGGTTAAATTTGGTGTGTGATGGGCGGTTAGAGGAATGTCTTTTAAGAAGAAAAACTTGATAAGATAATGTCCAAAAACTTTACCACAAAATGATTGGCCAAACCATTATGTAGGGAGAAATGACTGGCCAGCGGTAGCAAAGTTACGTATAAGTTATTTGCTGCAAGAGTGTCATAATCCATTTTTTTTAGTTAAGTATGCAGAAATGACCGCCTCCTCCTTTTTAGCACAAACACTTCTTCCTTCTCTTCTTCTATGCTGTGTAAAAATTCCATAGTTTATCGATTAACCATAGCTCGTAAAAGGAAAATTTGTATTAATTTTTACTTTGGGAGCGTATGCAAATTTTAAAGAGGTTTTTATTTGTTTGGATTATGACACTCTCGCAGCAATTCAACGATTTGTATGTATGGGTATCTAGATACATGTTTAACTTATGCATGCATGCACATATACTACATATGTGTGTGCATGTGTTCGTCAAAAATTAACAAAATCGCGTGGAGAAATTTAAAATTCTGCATTTCTGAAACTCTTGCAAATTAAAATTACGTTTGGACTTTTTTGGAAAACTGGTTCAGTACTCTCTGTTGCCAGATGTTGACTGCATAGGAAGAAAAGTGTCAGCTTTGTACAAGGATATACAGATGTATGCAGGCATTGTATGGATGAGGACGATAATAGATGTGTGAATGTTTGCCTACCTTCAGGTACTTCAATGTTAATGTGCGTGATTTTAATGTGGCTATCGTTGATTGTTTTTGACAGCATCTAAGAGAAAAGTGTTCAAGGAATAAAATCTTTGTCTGTTTGTTGTGGAGTTCCGCATGCGCATCAAGCACATCCATGTGTACATAGATATGTATGTATGTAAATATAAAATGGAGTGCCTGTATTTGTAGTCATGCAGATGTAGAGGAATTCCGCGTTTCTTTCGAGCTAACAAGAACACCGCTCAAAAGGGGTCAATCCGTGAAGTGTCCTTAAAGATGTTTTTAATAAGCGCCTCATCATCGCCGTCACTTCGCGTTAAATCTCACCGTTACCGTTCATTTAAAAAACTGATCTAGATTTTCGATTGTTGTTCCTACATTCATACATACATACATACATTTTTTTGGTAATGTCTTTTATATGTAAAGAACGGCAAGGTTTAAGACGGTTTTGGACAAGTTCGCTGATGAGGCCGATTGTTTATTTAGCGCATCTAAATCCCCGCCCTTGCAGTTGCAACTATTTTTTGAAAAATTAAGAAAAGACATTGGATTGGACAGATGGACACAAGCTTTTTGTTGATCCTTTGATTGAATTCTAATTGTAATGAGCTCAAATGTACGTGAATAAATACATACATAGACACATAAATGTGTATGTATGAACCTCTATTGCAGTAAATATCCTTCGTTCTTTGTAAAGTTTTTCTCATGGAAACTGTTCACGTGCATTTTCTAACTGCTGATATTTTCATGTTAAGCACATATGTATGTATGATATTACAAGTACATAGCTACTTATGTATAATCGTATTTAAAATTTTGAACAATTGTTAAACTGAAAAGAGGAATAATGCCATCCAATGTATTTCATATGTCCGTCATTTCTCTCTATCTATATATATAAAAAAGGATGTATGTATGTATGTATGTATCTATGCAGCTTATAGACTCCGAAACCATTCAGCCGATTTTGTTAAAATTTCCAGGATAGCTTCATAGAAACTCGGAGAGTGTTCCTGTGAAGTTTGGCTATTTTTGAAAGAGTTGCCACCTTTCAGAAAAATAAAATTTATTTAAATATGCAAGTAAAGTAAGTATAGATATCAAATGGAAGGTATTTGAGAAAGATATTTAAGAAAATTTACATCAAAAAATATTTTAATAAGTGTTGCCACCTGGTCAAAAAGTTAAAAATAATGAATATCTAATGCAATTCACATCAAATATTGCAATATGGGTATCAAACGGAAGGTATTGGAGAAAGATTCACGCCAAACATATTTTTGAGTAGAGTTGCCACCTCTTTCAAAAAAAGTTAAATGACATAAATGTGTGTATTAAAAAGTATTTCGCAGGATACGTGTCAAACGGGAGCTATTGGGAAATGTTTCAGTTAAGACCAATTATCGTATAGAGTGTCCACATACTTAAGAAAATAAAATCGGATAATATTTTTAAGAAATACCAAAGATTTAGAGTGTGATAAACTTCAAAGTCTGTCAAACCGAAAGCTTACCAAAAAGAAAATGCCGAATCCAAATTTTTAAATCTATATGTGAACATATGTATGTATGTTAATGCCAGAGTTGTATAAATTTTCACCAGGTTGCAATTTAAAAACGGAATTTGTTTAATAGTTAAAACCCAAAAAAGTACTCAATAGTAATGCATAACTTTTGTTTCTTATTGAATAAGGCTAAAAAAATATAATAAAATTTGCAATAAAAAATGTTGTAATATTTTTTCCTAATGCGCATACGAGATTTTGCTTGCATAATTTTCCTTAATTTGGGTGTATAAATTTATTTTTCCACAACATTCATGAAGAGAATACCTACATAGAAAACACTTTGTTACCTAAGTTCACATAAATAAAGGGTTTAAAAATTTCAAATTATTTGGGAGGAAAGTACCTGCAGAATTATAGCATTCGTTTTTATTTTATGGTTGAAGGTAGTTAAATATTGTTTACAAGAGTATATTTTGTTTCCCAAGTTTACCTAAACAACGGCTTCATAAATCTTGGGATTTTTCCACAACATTCTTGAAGAAAATACCTACGTACAAAGAAATTTTTCTGTATACACTAATTCAGATAAATAAGAAGTTGCGAAAGTCTACCGATTTTTTTTTTAATTTATTGCAGGAAAAGTACCTGCAGAGAATATCTTCTGCTGTTTGCACACGTTTTAGCATAGATAAAATATAAGGATTTTTAATCTTTTTAAGTGGAAGGTACCTTCAGAGAACATATTTATATTGTTTGCCTGAGTTACATAAATATAAGGCCGCATAGCTAATACATTCGCTCGTAGCAAGTGTAGACACTGCGCAAACGATATTGAATTCTTTTTCATCTGAGATCAGTTCAACATACAGAGTATTATTATTTACATTCACAAAAAAATAAAATCATGCCACCAAAGGAAGCATCAATTGGAAGAAAAAACCCCAATACAAAAAAGTCGAATGAATACAGAGCGGCGAAGATCAACGAAATGTCCGACTTCAACAAAATCGAAACAGAGAGACAAGCTTGAGAAATGTGGAAACGGAAAACCAGCGGGAATCTCGCCTCCAGCAAAATCGTGTGAGAGCTTCAACCTCCAGAGACGCTGAAACCCTGGAACAACGAGAATCTCGCCTTCAACAAAATCGTGTGAGAGCTTCAACCTCCAGAGATTCTGAAAATCCCGAGCAACGCAACGAACGGCTTCGCACTACTCTATCACGATTGACCCATTCAAGAGAAAGAACACATTTAATGTTGGCGGCATACAATTATGACAAAAACAGAGACTACGAAAATCATGCAGATGTCGCCATTGGACCGATGAATAAAGTTTGTTTGCATTGCCATGCTTTGAAGTTTGCAAAGGAACCACCAGGAATGTGTTGTTCAAATGGTAAAATAGTTTTGCCATCGTTAATTGAGGCACCTGAACCACTACTTAGTTACCTTTCTGGCACAACTCCTATTTCGAACCACTTTTTGAAAAACATACGCAAGTAAAACTCTTGCTTTCAAATGACTTCGTTTGGAGCAACGAAAATTATATCTGAAGACATGCCAACATTCAAAGTTCAAGGCCAAATATACCACAAAATCGGTTCATTGCTCGCAGTGCCACAACAAGATGCGAAATTTCTGCAAATTTATTTCACTGGAAATGATGCACTGGAAGTAGACAAGCGTTGCGCAATTAGTTCTGGGATCCGACGCGAGATCATTTCAAGCTTGCAGGCAATGTTCCACGAACAAAACAATTTGATTCGCCTTTTTAAAACAGCTCTGGATCAAATGCCATCAGATGACTATAGTGTTGTTATTAGAGCAGACAAAGCTCCTGCTGGTGAATATGAAAGGCGCTTCAATGCTCCAGTAACAGGGGATGTTGCAATTGTAATAGTTGGCACCGAATTCGATCGACGTGACATCATTATCCACCGGCGAAATGCTAATGTGCAGAGAGTATCGGAAACACATCGATCGTATGATGCACTCCAATATCCAGTGCTGTTTCCCCGTGGAGAAGAAGGATATCATTTCAACATCAGGCAAGTCGACCCCAGCACAAGTGAAGCGACGACAAAGAAAGTGTCCTGCATGGATTATTATGCAAACCGCATTATGATTCGTGGAAATGAATCCAATCATATCTTAAAATGTCGTGAATTATTCCAACAGTTTATTGTGGACATGTACGCGAAAGTCGAAAGTGAACGTCTTCTTTTCATTCGCTTAAATCAAAAGAAGCTGCGCGTTGAAGAATACGTTCAATTACGTGATGCAGTTGCTAATGATGGAAACATTGCTGACATTGGACAAATGGTAATTTTACCTGTAACATATACAGGAAGCCCGCGGCACATGCTCGAATACGGGCAAGATGCTATGACGTACGTTCGAAAGTATGGACGACCAGACCTATTCATCACCTTCACTTGCAATCCATCGTGGAGTGAAATAACCGAATTGCTTTTGCAGGCCAGAGCTCATCGCACAGACATGATCTTCTCGCTCGAATATTCAAGCAAAAGCTAATAAGTGTTATGAATGTCATCACGAAGAATTTTGTTTTTGGAGAAACCAGATGATGGATGTACTCAATTGAATGGCAAAAGAGAGGCTTACCACACGCTCACATTTTGATTTGGTTGAAGCAAAAAATTATACCTACACAAATTGATAGCGTTATATCAGCCGAGCTTCCAAATCAAGCCGAAGATCCCATTCTTTTTGAAATAATCAAGAAAAATATGATTCATGGGCCATGCGGTACTTTTAATCCTAATTCACCATGTATGCAAAACGGCAAATGCACAAAGCGATATCCACGTGAGTTGATTACTGAAACTCAAACTGGATGTGATGGATATCCTCTGTATAGGCGAAGAAATCCCACTAATTGTGGATACACAACTACTATTAAGATGCGAAGTGTAGATATCGACATAGACAATAGATGGATCGTGCCATACTCGCCACTACTTTCAAAAATGTTTAATGCTCACATCAATGTTGAGTATTGTAATTCGGTAAAGTCCATAAAATATATTTGTAAATATGTTAACAAGGGCTGTGACATGGCAGTATTCGGATTAGCAAATCGAGGTGATGAGATCACGCAATATCAAACAGGGCGCTACATCAGCAGTAACGAAGCAGTATGGCGGATATTTGCATTCAATATTCATGAACGATATCCAACGGTTCAACATCTCGCTGTTCATTTGGAAAATGGTCAGCGGGTTTACTTCACCGAAGAAAATGTGCAAAATAGAGCAGAGCAACCACAAAACACAACACTCACTGCTTTTTTCGAATTGTGTACATCCGAAAATTTTGCTAAAACGTTGCTGTATCAAGATGTGCCCAAATATTATACTTGGAACACATCGACAAAAAAGTTCAACAGAAGAAAAAGAGGTGCAATTGTTCCAGAGCATCCTGGTATATATTCGTCCGATGCATTGGGACGTGTGTATACTGTTCATCCAAATAACGCCGAGTGCTATTATTTGCGGTTGTTGCTGCATACAATCAAAGGGCCGACATCATTCCTTGCATTGAAAACCATCGACGGAGTAGAATGCCAAACGTACAGAGAAGCGTGCTTTAAACTGGGCTTACTTGAGAATGATCAGAATTGGAACACAACTCTGACCGAAGCATCACTCACGTGCCATCCAAAGCAAATACGAACTTTGTTTGCGATAATTTTAACAACATGCGCACCATCAAATCCTCGACAACAGTGGGAAATGCATCGTGAAAGCTTCAGTGAAGATATTCTAAGACAAGCACGTGCAAGCGATCCAAGTCAGAAATATTCGGATGACATTTTCAATGAAGCTTTAATATTAATGGATGACTTATGCATGTCAATCAACAACAAAGCTCTTTGTCAACTCGGTATGCCAGCACCGACACGAGATAGAAATGCTGTACAAGACAGAGACTTGATGCGAGAACTGCAGTTTGATGCAAATCAGCTTGAACGATTTGTGCAAACGCAAAAAGAGTCTTTAGTTGCTGATCAGAAAAAAGCTTATGACAAAATCATGCAACGTGTAACCAAAGGATATGGCGGAATTATCTTCCTAGATGCTCCAGGAGGTACCGGGAAAACTTTCCTCATCAATTTAATATTGGCGTCAGTTCGAATGCGAAATGGGATTGCAGTAGCAGTAGCATCATCGGGGATTGCATCAACACTACTTGATGGAGGACGTACAGCGCATTCAGCACTTAAGCTTCCATTGAATTTGCACCAGACCGAAACACCTACATGCAACATCAGCAAAAACTCTGGTATGGCCATAGTCCTTAAAACGTGCAAAATTATAATTTGGGACGCATGCACCATGGCACATAAGAAATCGCTCGAAGCACTTGACCGAACTCTGCGAGATTTTCGTGGAAAAGACCAACCGATGGGAGGCGCTCTTATACTTCTTGCAGGTGATTTTCGTCAAACATTACCCGTTATACCACGATCAACGCCTGCAGACGAGCTGAACGCGTGCTTAAAGGCATCGCATCTGTGGAACTATGTCGAAAAAGTTACGCTCACAACAAATATGCGAGTGCATTTGCTGCAAGATACGTCTGCCCAAATATTTTCAAAGCAACTTTTAGATATCGGAAACAGTAAAGTTCATATTGATCGCACAACAAATGAGATATCATTTCCGTCCAACTTTTGTCAAATGCAGCAGAGCATTCAAGACGTCATCGACAGGGTATTTCCGAACTTAACGGTCAACTACCGAAATCCGGAATGGCTCCGCGAACGTGCAATTTTAGCTCCGAAGAACGATGATGTTAGTAAATTAAACGGTCAAATTCAATTGAAAATTCTAGGAGAAGCGGTCGAATATAAATCGATTGATACAGTAATGGACAAAGATCAAGCTGTTAATTACCCAACTGAATTTCTTAATTCTTTGGAGCCACCTGGAATGCCTCCTCATTCGTTGGCGTTAAAAGTTGGATCACCAGTGATGCTTATTCGGAACTTGAACGCGCCGAAACTGTGCAACGGAACCAGAGTGATAATAAAAAATTAACACCGAATTTGATCGAGGCAACAATCATCAGCGGTAAATTCAAAGGCGAAGATGTGCTGATTCCACGTATACCGATGATTTCCAACGATTTACCGTTCGAATTCAAGCGGCTTCAATTCCCTTTGCGTCTTGCCTTTGCTATAACTATAAATAAAGCACAAGGGCAATCATTAACTATTGCGGGTTTGGATTTGAAAAATTCGTGCTTTTCACATGGCCAATTATACGTCGTCTGTTCACGAGTTGGGACATCACAAAATTTATATATTTACACACCAAATGAAAAAACTAAAAATATTGTTTATCCCTTAGCATTAAGGTAAATAAAAAGGTATTCAATTTCAAATCTCTAAATACATGTGTTTTTCTTTGGCGTAGCAACGCGCGCCGGGTATTGCTAGTTTAAATAAAAATAAGGCTGAGGGCTTATTAGTAACGAAAACTCTGTCTAATAAATATATAGCAACATATGTATGTACAGTGAAATTCCTCGTTACGGACAGTCCTTAGCCATATTTCAAACCATTTTAATCAAAACATTTCTCATAAAACGAAATTGGTGATCTAATTCCTATTTGTTTTGATGAAAACGAAATTGGTGATTCCCCTTTTAGCACATATTAGCTCTGATCCAGTACTCCATGAACTTACAGGAGTTTACACGAACTTGCAGGAAGTTGCAGGAAAAATGTTCCCGTACTCCAAAATCCCCCAAAATCCTGTAAATGAGAGCGACTTTTGGAGAGTTGTGTAGAGAATGAAGTTGCAAGATTTTACCTCACTTCAGAGAGTAATTTTGCTGTTTGACAGTTTTACAGGATTTTTCACGAAAAGTATTGGATCAGAGCTATTCATGTCGTACGTGTCAAATAGAACGCGGTTTTTACATTCAGTTTGTTAAATAAGTTGCATGTGAATTGTATATCGTACGATGAGGCGTTAAAACTTGTTACGTGTTTGAAACAAATTGCAAAAAATATCGAGAGTCATTTTTAAAATGAGCATTTTAAATTGAATCAATCGATATTTAAGCAATTAATCACTACAAAATTTTTAATACTGCTTAAGCCAAATTTTGCACGACCTTGCAACAATGTCAAATTATATGAAGCAGAGTCTGTACGAAAAAATGGTCATAGTCAGTGTTGCCGCGAATCATTTTTAGTGGTAGCCAAATTCCTTTAAAACAGGGCTCAAAAGAGCTAAAAAAAAGTTGTTGTGGCGTAAAATGGTAGCTAAAATTTTTTACTTACATATTCTTCTTCTTCTTCTTTTTTGGCGCTGTAACCGCCTAAGCGATTTTGGCCGAGTTCAGCAAA